CAGGCACATGATAATTAAGGTAGATTAGGATTAGTTTGAAGAAGAAACTGCCTTTCTCGAATACCTTGTATTACTCTGATGAACAGTTCAGGCAAGAATGTGAGAATACAGTTGCCCTGCCCACCACCTTCTTAGGACTCCCCCTACGACTGTTGAAGGATGCTGGCTGGTAAGGCTTAAAAGGAATATTCACTGTTAAAACTGGCAGCATACAGAGGTGGGCAATAGAAAGAGAAATAGAAATGGGAGGAGAGGAGAAAAATTCATCTGCTACCTGCCCATGTGCCTACCTATGAGTTCTTCTATCTGCCTTTCAACTTTTTGCTAACTTCAATCAACGGAAAGGATTATCCAGATACCAATTAGGTGGACTTTTTCACTGTAATAATTCATAATGTTTAGAGAATAATTCTTCCAAAATGGCAAGGAGAGATATGACACTAAGATGACTCCAACAGATCTTGTTACTAAAAGCGAAACCAATGAAACAACATCTGTCTCTTCTAGAGCATTCAATTCCCAATTCAATTCCATTTACTCCGTCCTTAGAGTGGCGGACCCGCAGGGCACTTTTCATCTAATAGTGTTTCTATGGAAACGCTATTCTCAACCTGGAAGATTCTACAACCTCTCACATTGGCTTTATCTACAATGAGAGGAAAGTCTTATAAATCAGAAATCAAGACATACATTTAGCCACACACACACACACACACACACGCCAAAATTTTCCAGGCTAGAAGTGCACATGTACACACACACACACACACACACACATACACACAAAGAAAGACGAAAGAAAATCAAACAAGAACACTTGGCACATAAGTGTGTCTAACTTAGAAGCAAAGTTTGTCTCTATAGTAAGGCTTAGCCAAAGGGGATCCTCAGGATGGTGAAAGAATGGGGAGTAGGAGAGAGTGTGAATGAAAATCATTTCACCGTCAGGATCGCCACCCCAACTGCTCAATGCTGGATATTGACCTGTGAATGCTTTCTTCACCTGAATCTGCAGGTATGCTTTCTGACTACCTCCCTTCTCCCTAACCTTTGGTATTCCCAGAGGCACAGAAGCTCCATGCAGAAAAAATATAGTCCCTGCATATTTTAAATAAGAACCATATTAACCGCTTTTCTATTTAGATTAGACTGCAATATGATACAGTAGGAAAACAAAAAAGAAAAAAAACCTTGATTTTTACCTTAAACATGGCATTTACTCCTTTTCCTCATTTTCACTAAGCCCTTGGACACACATCTTTGTAACACTATGTAGCAAAAGAACTGATAATATGCAAAACACATCCAGCCTAAGCACTATGACATCACAGGCTATGTTTACAGTTGGAATAATGCCTTCAAGAAGGAAAAAGAAACCCTGATATGACATATGCCCCTGAACTGATTGTGAATACACAGTGACTCATATGCAAATATTAAGCACATTTTAATTGTTTGCAATAATTTATCTTCAGACAAATGTAAGTATTCTTATTAATAAATGTCTTTATTTTCTTTCTAATTCTCTCTTATTATTTAAATCCTGTCAGTCATTCTTTTCAATTCCAGGGAATAGTTTCTTTTAAGAGACTCTCTCTACTTACCAACTCTGGCAAATGCTCAACTAAGTCTAAGCCGGGAATTTACCTCACTGAAATTTCCTCTTACCCCATAATCACCAAAGTTTAAAACTCGTTTCCTTTTTCTTTTATTGTTTTCATTATATACAAGTATGTCCAGTTTAGCTTGCTAGAGACTATGAGTCCAAGAATGAGGCTTTAGTTCTCTCTTTGGAGTAGTAAAATGTGCTACTGATTAAATCTACCTGTGGATAACTACAGACTGGCACATTTTTCTTCTCATGCAGCTGGGGTGCAAATCCAGAAAGATTTTTCCTTTTTTTCTTTTTTTTTAATTCAGGGCCTATTCTACTCTTCTAACACAGAAATTCTTTAAAGCCCTTTCGAGGGCAGATTTTTTTTCACTGAATAAACCAGTGAAAGGGTTGGGCCATTTATTTTTTTTTTAAAAATAGCAATTTGCTTTTAAAAGGTATGGGAGGTTTTCAAATATGCCTTTTGGCATTAAAAAAAGATTAGTTTACAATTTACTAATAAATTGGTATTCCTATTGTTTTAATTAGCCAGAATTTCAATGGTTCTTTTATATCTAGCAACATTTCAAAAAGGATTTTCTAGATAAGTTGCATTTATCACATAGCAATGATGTGATCATTTAAAATTTGTACAGATAATTCCTAATGACTTGTGCATCCCCGAAGACTTCTCAGAACTTGAAATAAAGTTACCAAACAATTAGTACGGAGATGTCAGTAGTTACTTACATTTAGACAAACAACAACAAGACTCTCTTTAGATTCTATAGGAGTTTTCATAGAATTTATTTGAATTAGCTCCTTACTATAAATATTACCTAAGCAGTCCATGCATTCCTTCAAGGAGGATTACAAAACAAGGGTAATGGGTGTTCCTTATTACTGGAGGTCTATTTGCTCTTGCAATTAGAGAAGAGGGAAGGAATACTTTTCACTGGGGGAAGGAAAAGATGAAAAATTTAAACGTATCTCCTAACTTTGCTCTTCAGATGATGTTATAAGAGCAATTCGATATTTCGAGACTATTACCATTAATCAATATTTCTGTATGAGCAGATGGCATTGGACTGGGTAAGGGTGGTCGAAATACCCAATGGAAACCACAAGACAACACCTATAAACAATCATAGAAAGCCAGGAAAACATGGATGAATGGGTTTCCCCTTTCAGAGCAGTGGAACAGGCCAGCAAAGAACTCAAAACTGAAGACTATTATCCAGGCCTCAAGAAATCAGGCAGTTCATGAATAATTTCTATTACAATTGCCCCAGTAACAAACACATAGTCCATATAACCAAGGCAATGCATGTAAAATCATGCGGGCTGTTAGAAAGTTTATTTTGGTTTTGTTTGTTTCAAGATAATGTAGCTCTCTGCAAGCGTCTTCATAAGGGTTCAACCTAGGAAAACAGGACAACTAGTGGGTGCATAAAATAACTTTCTTCTCTCTCTCCTGATTCTGTCTGAACCAATATTTGATTATATTTTATTCGGGGGCACCTCAGCTTCAAGTAAAGCCAAAACTCCTTTGCAGATTGAGATGGAGCTGAAGAAATCTATTCATTGTTTCTATTAGTCTAGGAAATAGAAATTGTTTGGTTGTGATTTCAGGGCCAACCTGATTTTATCCCACCACACCAACTCATTCCACAGGGCAAGTTAGCTAGTTAGCTCTGGAGATAAAATATCAGCATCATTGCATCTGCATCATTGTGCTACACACTTTTGACCAATTGCCACTTCTTATCTAAATGTCGTATCATTTGTTTTTCACAATATGCCCTCAAGACCTGAGTCCTCTTTCCCCCCAGTTCATTAGTGACTGATAATCTTCAATGGGAAACTTGCAGGAATCAGATCTCAAAATATCTATCCATGTGTAACAGGTGTCAGATAAGTAATGGTGCCTGAATCAGAATTCAGGTAAACTTGATATGATGTTAAAATTATAACAGCTAAAACAATCAAAATCTTCAACTAATTTCCAGCATAGCCCAAGCCCTAAAGTTTACTCAAAAATTGTCAGTGTAGTCTAGTTACTATTTGGAATTATGATGGGAAGAAGAGAAGAGAGGAAACTTTTTTTTTTTTTTAGCTGCTCTCAGTTTTTATCTTATTCACTGACACTGGAAAATCTGGATTAATTTATACCCTTGAGTATGATTAGAGGCACAGCCTCTATCCAGAGGAGCAGAACCAACATGGCCTTCAGACATCCCCTGAGTTTGTCTCTCTGTACCCGTAAAACTCACGGCGGAACATAGCTTTGAAAGTGGGCCCAGGTATGAAGGTAAACAGGCTCCGCACTTGTTTATGACAATGCAGGATTAACTTTAATATTTAAGGAAAAAAAGACTTTAGGAAAGCAAGCTAAGATAAAAATGGTAACATAAAATATTTCTTCCTGATAGTAAAAAACAACCCTCAAGAGTTTTTAACATTTGTTCATCTATGTAACGTTGCTACAACCTGTCTAAATTCATCCTTTGTCTCTAATATTGAAATTCCCCTGGTCAACAGTCTTGTTGATTTTTAAAATATTATTTTATCCACAAATCTTCCTTGTGTCTTCTTCCTTAAATCAGTATGCACTTGCAAAAATATCCACCAAAATATTATTCTTATAAATATTTTGAACATGAAATTCATTCAGGACAATAACCAAACAAAACAAATCCCCCAGTGGCATAAAGCCCCAAATCTCCAGTTTCTCACATCTCCAGGAGAATTCCTGCAGTGAAAACAGCAATACTCGCACAGACAATATAAACTGTTACTGTGCTTGAAAAGTCACAAGGGACTACACAGGAAGAGCTGACTCTATATTGCTGTTTTCCTTTACAGTTCTAAATACAGAGACAACTTTCACTGTGGAGCTCTGACTTACATGAATGTGTTGTAATGGAAGCCAGTGCATTCAAACCACTTAAAAGCAAATTATGTGATCATCTTGCCTTTGCAACATGATTTAAATTTTTGTGGACCATTTCTTATAAAGGTCCACTAAAGCATCAGAAGATATTAAGTCTGCCTCTAGGGTTTGTTTTACTTTCTTCTTAGTAAGAGATGGTTCTGAGCACTTAACGGTCACACTTAGCAAATCAACATCATTAATATACATACTTAAAATCACAAGTGCATATGAACACCTAAACCTTTTAACTTACAAAAGTTAACAAAATTGCAATAGTGAATTTTAAATAAAATTTCTCATTTGGGGTATGTAGCTAAGAAATAAGTGCTAACACTTTTGCAAAAACTGTGGGAACACAGTGATTTATGAAATATTTCAAGTCCAGAGGGATTACTTTTTTCTCATTTTTTTCTATAAAAACTGGTTCATTGTCCATATTTAGTTTACATATGTCATTTAGAATCCACTTACTGTTAGATGCTGGAACAGCCACGCCCTCATGATATTTGTGGCTACTTTGGGAAAGATGCCACGCTTTTTGTGACGCTTTTTGTCCTTATCAGGGTCATCATCGTCACCTGTGCTGGGGGAAGCTACACTGTTGTCCAAGCCATCACCTGCAAACATAGTGAATCAAATTTTGACTGATGCTACCTTGACATGCTTTATTCAAATAGAATGCCTTTGGATATAAACAAAACCAAAAGAGCAAATTTAAATGATTAATAGTTTCTTTGGTACTGTTTTTTGTTTTGTTTTGTTTTCCAAGACAAAGAGAAAGAACAAGGCCTAGGCTCAAGAGTAGTCAGATATAAAGAACTTCTTCCAAAGAACATTGCCAAAAGTCAAAGGGAATGGAGGGAAATATCCAATCCCCTGTGTTTGTTGCTATGGTAATTATTTCAATATGTATAGCTGAGACAGGTTAAGTGTAACTCCTAGTGGGGAGTTAAACATGGTGGCAGTCATTAGCAGTGGCACTATCGCTGCCTGGGCCTTCCAATCCCACAGTCATTAACATTGACTTGTGAGAAGATGCATTTAAGCTATCAACTATTTCTACAAGTGATCTATCTTAAGACTAAATTAGGATGGGGAAATGTAGGTAATCCACCATATACGCAGTTTGATGTAGGAATGCTTCAAATAAAATATAATTTTTCTTTTAATAGAAAGAAAGCATCAAGTTTAGTAAGGGAAAAACCCCTGACATCGTTTCTTAATTAGAAAACAATTACTGCGTAAATCAAATAAGGTAATGCTAAATTAACAGTAAATTGGAATTGCATTACACTAACAATTCAGGCAGTTTCTAAAATTTGTGCTAGATTTAAATTTTCCACACTGAAAAATCATCTGCTAACATATTCCTCTATATCAGATCCTATTTTTCTATTTATTTTTATTATAACATTTATACTGTTTCTTGTAGAAAATATTTTGGCTCTGTGACACAATGAAATTTTAAAAGGTACTATTTCTTTTTTATAATGCCATATTTAACAAGAAAAATAAAAATTTAACCCATATAATCACACTGACCAAAATAAGTTACAAGGTACAAATGGAAAGTAGGTATTTTTGTGTTGGCATCAAAGTCAAAAGGGAAAACCACAATGGACAAGACCCACTACACTAAAAAGTAGCTTAGCTTGGTCCTCCATTCTCTTAGAAACCGACAGGTTGATCTGGGCCCAAAAGGAAGAGCTATAGTGGACAGGCTTAGAAATTAGATTTTAAAAAAAAACACCCAAGAGCAGATTTACTGGGTTAAATAAGCCATTGGAGAGCCATCTACACGACCCGAAGAACCTGATACTTTGGTAAGACGAGTTTCCTGTACATGGCCCCAGGTTCACTTCCATGGCTTCATGAATTTCTATATTTCTCACTTCTGTTATTAGGTCCTACATTAAAAAAATTTTTTAAATGTCTATTTCAATTTCAATTATTTCTGTGTAATCTATAGTAGGTATGTTGCAACTAATCAACTATTCTTAACAGCTCCCTCAGCCGACTCACCTCTCTCCCATGAGAAATAAGAAAAATATCCCTCAATGTTTTTTTTTAATTGCCCTGACTTGTTCTGAGCAGAAGTTTAGAAAGTTTGTTGGGTGAGGAACAGACTAATTCCAACATTTCTACTACTATTACAGAATATGCTATAAATGTAAAACTTTTGCAAAACTTCTCTGAGTCTAACCTCTCATCATTAAAAATCCACAATTTTATTATATTTAAAATCCGTCTATTTTGTTAAAAGTTTCACAGAATCATAGCTTGCATTCACTCGGAAAAGATCATGAAAACCCACCACTCCAAAGCCATCATTGTATCAGCGAAGAAAACGCTATGTTACCTGACTGGGTCAAGGTCATGTACCCTGGCATGGAACTACTGGGGTCTGTGCTGCACCAGACCCCCACACCTGTAAATCAGCACTCCTTCCACTCAACCAAACTATTTGCATAACCAAGTATTTTATGAGACATCCCCTTGGATTTGCCTAATAAATTCTTTGAAAGTCCAGTATTTAAACAGGCTTTTTATTCAGAGAAGCAACTTACCATATAAAATAACAATTCATTAAAGAAACATGAGAAAAGAAAACAACTCAACAGCATTTAAATTTTCAATGGGCTAATCCACTTTCCATATGCAAAAGATAACCAAGGAAAAGACATATATGACTTGATCACTGATTAAAAATGAAAAGCTTATAACCTAACAATACTGTTTTTCACCACCTCCCCATGATTGTTTTCCACCTTTAAGAAAAAATAGCCTTTTTATCCACCTCAAACCCCTTCAGATTAATTTAGCAAGCAATGCCTAGTGCCTGCCTAGAAGAGAATTCATTGATAATTTATGGAAATATCTACTATAATCCAGCAGAGATGACTTTTTTCCAGCTTTGTGCATCAATAGATAATCAAGGCCTTAAAGCAACCTTAGCTTCCCATTACCTCAGGCAAAAGAATTCCTGAAAGCGTGCCTTGAGGGCACCTGAATTATATACTCCATTAGGAGAGGAGGGCTTTCTGCATTCCATGTGTAACACTCACCAGAACCTTTCCTGTTTATTTCTGCTGTATGAAAGCAGAAGCATTAGGAACAGAATTTTTTAAGTGAAGACTTATGTAGATACAATGGAGAAACCTTTCAAGCAGGAGCCAGATCACCCCCTTCAGTCCCTGGCAGTGACCTCTCCTGAATAAAAGGTTTCTATTACATCATTAGCTCAAGCCAAAAACAGCCTTGGCTTAATGCACAGTTTGTTCTTCCTACTGTTTTTAGGCAAATACAGCTACTTTACTCCCATCTGGGAGGGAAATTACACTGCTGGGTTGTAATCTAAGACAAGATTTTCATTGGAAGCAAATGCTTTCAATCCAGTGTAAATACTGGTGCATGTTCAGAAAAGCCTAAAACAATAAACCCTGCTCCTTTCCGACACAAGTTCGGGAAATGGAGAAGATGGGGAAGGAGACGAGCATAATAAAAACAGACTATTCTAAAAGCATAACACTTCCATAGATTTTAATAAATTGTTTAACCTCTTCCACTTTCTAAAATTGAAAATTGATCTGGAACTGTCTCAACCTCAGTGAAAAGTCTAAACGGTCAATTGTACCTTTAGCATTTCCATTCGCTCCGCGATTTCATATAGTCACCTCAATGTGGTCTCTCGAGAATTTATTTCCTTTTTTATTTTTAAGATCACTAAACAAACTTGGAGAACCGCCGGCTGACCACACGGCAGCAGGCAGCAGCTCTGAACCACATTTGTAAAATGTCAGCAGTGACTTCATTCCTGGAGCTGACTTCTCCTGCCGCTGAATGAAGGCAAACTGAAAAGGTGGAAATAATCATAAAAATCATGCTAGTCCATAAACAAGCTTACAGCCTCATTAGGACAGCAGTAGGCTCCAGTGGGTGATTTATGCTCGTTTTGCTGATGCCATGAGGAAATGCCATAGGGCGACTTTAGCCAACCGCTAATGGTTTCTGACAGCTTCTTAGCAACTAGTGCAAGCAACGTTGTGGCGTTTGCTAGTGACAGAAACTGAAAATGTCATATTATCTGCCCATGTGTCATGAAGTCCATGTGGCAATTAACTAGCAGGCCAGTGACTGAGGGGCCAGAGGCTCCTGAAAATGGCCTTTGGCTATGCAGAGGCAGCCGCTGGGGCTTCGCACACACAGGCCGCACATATGCAACATTCTAATGCAGAAATCCACTCCCTGCAACTTCCTGGGCTCTGATGAGACCCAGCCACTCCAATCTCTTTTTTCCCCTTCAATGAAGTGAAACTCTGGATTCCTCTCTCTCTAGGCACAGGCTCAGGCATTATCAGAAGACTAAAGCAATGTGCTTTGATATGATTATCCGAATGGCTCCTTAATTGGCAATACCTGGTTCTGTGCCTCTTGGAGGCTGGATTCAAAGGTGCTAGCTACAGTATTTTGCTACTCTCTCACAAATTAGTCTAAAAGGATTTAAGATCACTGGAGCAGACTCATTGCCTGTCAGATTTCGAGGAGCAGAGGAACTCTGCACAGCAACAAGACACTATTTAAAAAACACCAGGCTTCTAACGAGCAGGGGGAGAATCTTGGCCACACTTTTCAGTTTCCGAGCTATCAAAACCATGCACTATATGTCAAACTGTCAAACCTTTCAGCGTGGGCCATTTGCCCTTTCAAATAATATTTAAGAATTGTTTTTACAAAATTTTATAGGCCATGGTCTAGTGAAAGAGGCCAACCAACAAAGAAAGGAATTTGTACTACAATTCGTCTACGGACAATTTCTTGTGAGACCTGGGCCTGTCCCTACGGAGCAAGGCAGGTGACCTGTGGCAGCTCCCAGGCTGTCAGAGAGCTCAGATTTCAAACACGCTCAACTCAAACATCCCGAGTCGCCTATTTAAGCATGCCCAGGCATTTAGACTGTGCTATCTCGTGCCTTTCAAGGCAGGATAAAGCGGCATTTATCGTATTCAGGCCATTCAATGGGTCAGACTGACCGTGTCAGCAGGGGCTCCTCTCCGGCAGGTCAAAGCCCTGCTCCCATTTTTTTCTCTCCCTAACTCCCTCTGTCCTCTCAGGACTGCTGTTTCCCTAAACCTACTCAGAGTGAAGCAACAACACAACCCAAAGCAGCTCCTAAGATTTAAATCACAACTGATCAGAACTTCCTGTGCCAGTGAGCCATCAGGTAAAAATAAGATGCGTTGTCTGTTAGAAAGTTCTTTATGTCGTAGAAGCAAAACTCCTAATTAGGGAGATGAACTTTCAACTGCCAGGGCAAATGAACGTGTAAGGTTGTGGACCCCCTTGTTTTCCCAGAAGCCAAGCTGGAAGCCACAGTGACTTCGAGATCAATTTGCATTTATAATTTTGTGTCGAGACTCCATCATTTTGGGCCATATCCTCTCTTTAAATTTTTCTCCTCTTCCAGTATTTAGGAATAGTGTTTAATCCCAAAATGTACCTGGACTCAAACGTCAGGCCATTTATAGTTGTATCTTTTGATACTGAGTAAATTCTATTGTGCCTTGAAAGTTTTCCAAACGGTCAATTCAAAAGTCTGCTTATGAAAGTATATAGTTCA